TCCCATATGATTGTTACATATATCACAAAATATTGTTTACACTCATTACTATGTTATTAGATTTGACAATCATGATTAAAAGGCACAGATATATTAGAAATTCATTTCTTTAATTATTTTAATAACTATTTCATTATAATTAGTTCCCTTTGTCATCTTTTGTGTCTGTGTGTGTGTGTGTGTGTGTGTGTGCATTGCAAACATTGTTCTGATAAAGGATGTATAGATATCTCCAGACTCCCAAAAGGGATCAGTGGCACAAAAACGTTTAAGACCCACTGTATTCTGTCCATGCTGCTTATGTAAAACATTTAGACCACACCTGTTATACAGTAAGTGTTTAATAGCTGTTAGTACAGTTTATGTTTTACATTTCCCATTATATTTTGTGAACTGCTGAAATGGCTAAGTTACAGAAGTGGGTTTTGCTCTTCTTTTTACATAAAGAAAATTTTATTGCAAATACTAATCATTTCACTTACTTGCAGAGGTCATTGACACAGCTGGCAATATATAAATATGGATCAATATATTCGTGGCAGCTCAGAAAAGGAAACTGCAACAGTATCTGACACTTGAAGAAGATTGCCTGTGCAAGAAAAGATGTCAGTCACCAGAACATACTTAATCATATGTGTGTGCTCTCATATTTTTCACTGATCTGTTTTCATGACTCTGTCCTTGTCAGGAAAGAGACGGTAATTTATACTTATAAATTTTAACCAACATTTTTCTAATTACATATTTTCATGATGACTACTGCATTTATAAAACTCATTACATTTACTATTTTTGAAATATTCTTAAGGTTATTCTCTATTGCAATTATATTTCCTGAATTTAATCGTTTTAATTATGTTGGGGTTGCATTGAAAAATGCTTAATGCTAAACATAAAAATAATACATATGTGTATTATGTCCAACATGGCCAAATTTTTCACATTAAATCTACCTCAAATGCTGGCATTCCACTGGAGCATGGATTTGGAAAATCTGAGGGTGTGGGTACACATTTGGTGTCATCTGGAGTTTGCACCGACCAACTATTTGCAAACATAGCAATGTCTTCTGTATAGTCCTCTGTTTCACACAAACACACACACACAAATAAGTATAACTATATCATTATCCACAAACATAGACACAAGTTCTTCAACATAAACTTCCTGGTCAAAAAGTTAAACTCAATAATGTTATAATTACCAATAAGATATTAGACAATAACATTGACTTAGCATAATAAAAATAAATTGAACGAAGTTTAAGTACCAAATAAAAGTTAGTGCCATTGGAGAGAAAAAGCCAGCTGCATTGAAACCACATGGGGGAGGACTGAAAGTGAGCAAATACGACATACACACCAGGAATGTATTAATTGGCCAACATTCTATCCGTGCTTAGAGGGGAGAAAAAATATGCACAGAACTAAGAAACATAAGGAAACAGTCAATGCAAAATTGTTCAGACAGTTCTCTCATTATGTCTGATATTAGTCAGAACCTTATTAAAATTGCAGTTCCATTTTCAGTGTCTACAACAATAAAAAAATTTTTTTGAGCCCTTGGGAACATTTCAGAGGACAGTCACAGAGACAATGAAAGACTGGAAGAGGCACCTAAAGAAGAAAAGACTAAGATGTGAATCTATTTCATCTAATTATGATGAACAGTGTTTTTAAACATGCTCAGAAAAGAGCCCCAGTATTAAGAATCCAGGAACTATCCCAGCATTATTCAGAGGCAAGTTTCAGGAGCTAATAAGCAGTAGAAACAAACAGATGTTTGGTGGTGGGCACCCTGGACTCCCAGCTCCAAATTAAGTTTAAATTGTCTCACCATGTGACCGTCAAAAAAGTTCAAGGCCTGATACAGAAGTTAAACTTGCCCACATTTAGACAGAGGCTGAATCTCAAATCTTAAGGACGTGGCAGAACCAAACAGGATGACATCTCAAAGTTCCTTCTAACGTAGTTAGACTTCAGCTTTGAGATTTAGGTTCTCCACCATCCAGATTTGCATGGCCATAAGTCAATCACTGATGACAACCTACCGCACCACTAGAATCAAAAATCTCAAGCCAAGTGTTTTACCACTCTAAGCATTTCTAGATACGAAGATAATGTCTGCATGCTCCTACCAAAGTCAATCACTGATGACAACCTACCGCACCACTAGAATCAAAAATCTCAAGCCAAGTGTTTGACCACTCTAAGCATTTCTAGATACGAAGATAATGTCTGCATGCTCCTACCGAATGTTGGGAAGATTGTGGGGATTCATTATCTATAAGCATCCTCTGCTTTCTTAGTGTAAAATTCCAAACCTTACTGTAGCCTGGAAGATTTTGAGATCTGGCCCCTGCACTCCCCCTACTCCCCACTGCACCCCAGCCCTGCCCTGTGCCTCCTGCATCTTTATTCTTGCTCATCCTACTCCAGCCATGCTGGCTTTACACTGTCTTCAAACACTCAAGTTCATTCCCAGCTTGGGGCACTTGCTCTTTCTCCTCCTTCAAAACCACTCTTCCCTCAAATCCTTCTGCTCCCTCTGTTCATTTAGGTTTCTGTTTAATGTGACCTCCTCAGAGAGGTCTTCTCTGCCACATGATCTAAACTAACACCTAATAGACACTTGTTCTATCAGGCTTTATCTCTTTACCCTGCTTTTTTTTCATGGCTGCTATTGCTCACAAAAATTATATTTTAATTTGTTTGCCTCTTTATCTACTTTGTCTTCTTCTAGATATATATTATATGAAGAGAGTCTCAGCTTTTCTATTGCCACATCCCTAGTTTAGTATCTGGCATATAGTAGGTGCTCAAAATAGATTTGCTAAATAAGTGAATACTAAATAAACGTACTTTGCACAACTTATTGAATAGATTATTAGAATCCTAGAGCTTTCGAATTAGTCTGACCCATTTTGTCATCTCTGATATCACTGGAAATGTTACACACTGAACAAAGCATTGACCTGGTCTAATACACATATTTAAAAATGAAAAAACTGATGTCCTTTTAAAGTAAATTTATAGTCACATTTCATTTCAAACCATCATCGTTTTTTATAAGTCTGAAGAACCAAAAATATTTCTTAAAGGCTCACTCATTTCAATATTTATGCACAAATTTTAATGTTACTAAACAACCTGGGCAACCCCTTAGAGTTCACTTTACTTCCAAATTTTGAAGCACACATTTAGGTATTTTTACTCTATTGCCTTAATAAAACAGTCACAAAAGCTGTTTAACACGAGATTTTAAATCCGTGTCTATGTATGGTCTGGAAGCCTGTTAAACTAAAATTAAAATAATTCATATAAAATATGTTCTAAGTAGAGTAATTTATTGTACATATCGAGAAACTTTTCAAGGTGAAAGGGAAGTGCTATTAATTATTATACAGGAAAAAAAATGAGAATAAACCAGGACTTCTATGTGGGTGCGTTGCTAGAGGTAGACATGAATTACAGAAACAGAATTCTTAACTAGACAGCAAATTAAAATCTTCCTATGTGCACAGAAATTCTAAGAAGTTTCATTACTTTGTGAAGTCATCCATGAAGGACAAGTGGGAATGCAGAGAGAAATACAATTTTAATCATTGTTAAGAAACTGTGCATTCAATGGCATTCAATCAAACTATGTAACTCTCTAAAGATTTATCTAATCAGTAAAGCACAGGCTAAGATTCTTGAAAGTATTAGGCATGTTAAAGGCAACACAGCTCATCTGTCAACATTTTTTTTGCATTATTACAGTATACGAGGAAATAGAGGGCAGTTTCTTGACATATCCCTACAAGTCGTTGTAAGTTAGGTGTTTTTTGTTTTGTTTTGTTATTATTACTCTGCCTTACACTGTGTACCAAATAAAATTGTGAAGAAGCTGAAACCTCTCTTTAGGCCCCTCCCACATACTTTGAAGAGACCTTCTTGCCTTCTGCCAGTTTAGGCATAATTCAGTTCAATTGCCTCCTGCCAGTCTTCCCCCACTTCTAATTTGCTAACACCCTTTTGCATGCTGTCCCAGTTATCTCACTGTGAGCAACCATTCTATGTCCCAGGTTTTCAAGGTCTGTCTGATTCTTAACTCAAATCCTCAATCTGAGCCTCCCCGCCTCTAATAAGAGCAGATGCTGTTTTCAATCCTGACTCCTTACCATGTTCCCTGAATGTCCCAGGGGAAATTGCCCAAAGTGGTCTTTTCTTTTTTTTTCTTTTTTTTGTCTTTTTCCGTGTCCGGCAACGGATCGCAACCCTCAGTGTCGCCCCCGTACCGGACCGGGACCGGCAATGGGATCGCAGCCCTCGGCGTCGCCCCCGCGCCTCGCTCAGCCAGTGAGCGGGAACCCGTCTGTATGTGGGATCCGAACCCTCGGGCGGGAGCGCCCCCGTGCTTCCCAAGTGGCGCACTATATCAGTGCGCGCTCAGCCAATGAGCGGGAACCGGTCTGTATGTGGGATCCGAACCCTCGGGCGGGAGCGCCCCCGTGCTTCCCAAGTGGCGCACTATATCAGTGCGCCACCGGGCCGGCCCAAAGTGGTCTTTTCTAACACTGAGAACTGGACTACTATTTTTTCAAGAAGCATTGACACAGAAGAAAAATAAATCAATAATTAACATCTGCCTGAATTTAAAATCTTACTTCTTAATACAATCTCAAGATTCCAACTTTGTTAACCTTCTGATTCCAAATACCCAACCAGATGTAAAACACCATTTCATGATGATCCCAATACTGTACATATGTTTGTATTCACAGACTCTTGAACACTTTCACTTAAATTTTCTCATTTGATATTCACAGGCTGTGATGGAAGCTCTCAGGTCATTATTATTATCCCCCTTTTACATATGAGGAAATTGGCTCCTTGGAGCTCTTCTCTCTACTCTAGCTACTAATAAACTAATACTGATGATGTATCAGCCATCTGGGGCAAAATGCTTGCATTGTAGTAAGGGCTTCTTAAAGCAATGTAAAGACATTTCAAACATTTTAATTTCAGCTGCATGATAGGCTTATTGAGGAAAACTTGGAATGATTATAAATTAACTAAAATGTATTGAGTATTATCTATGTGCCAGGCACCATACCAAGTGTTTTATGTGAATTGCCTCATTTAGCCATTGCAACGCTGTGAAATATATATTGTCATTATGTCATTACACTTAGAAAGGTTCATAAGTGGTAAAGCAGAATTTGAATCACACAATCTGGCTCCAGAACTCACACTCTCAGTAGGCCTTTTACTGTCTCTTACAACACAACATATAGGCAACTCATCTCTATTAATTTTATAATACAAAACAAAAAGTATTATATAGCACTTTACAACTTAAAAGGCAATTACTCACACATTTATCTAAGCAAAGGATTGGGAGCCAGTCAGATCTATAATCCAATCCTGACAGTACCATCTATAAGCAATGTTACATTGGACACATAACCTTGTGTTATCACTGTAAAATTAAGAAAATACTACCCACCTTACAAAATGTTGTGAGGGTCGTGAATAACATAGCTACGTGCTCATATTAACTATTACTATAAATACTATCAAAGTATATCATTTTTTACAATTCCAAACTACTCGTGAGTTCAGAATTATTATATCTCTATTTTACAGCTGAAGGAACTTCGCATCAGAAATACTAAATGAGTTGCCTCAAATTACACAACTTGTAAGAGTTGGAACAAGATTCAAAGCCAGGCCTGCTGGTACTAAGAATAGTATTCTTCCCTATTGCACCTCTTTGTGTGAACCCAAATCATGATTATGGCTAGTGATTCCTTAACTCATTACCACTGCACACTCGTACCCTAACTAAAACAGAACCCATTCTTAACAACTCACCGAGGTTAGTTTCATGACTTAGATAGCTGATCAGGTAGGTATATAAAACCGTTTCAAGTTACTGCTTAACTTTTATAATCCTGTTCACATTTCATTATCTCTATAAAACTAATTATTTGTTAGTTAACTTATTCCTGTCAAGACTGGATGCAAAGTAGCTTTTGTCCTAAAGCAGACATATTTGATCCAAATGGATTTTAACCACTAGAATACAAACTCCAAGAGGAGAGGGGTCTTTTTGGTTATTGTTCATTGATGTATCCCAAGCTCCTGACACAAAGTAAATGCTCAATCAATATATGTTAAGTAAGTGCTGCAAATGTAAATTAGCTCGTGGTTTTCAAGAACAACACAAAAATGTTTTCCTGTACAATCTTCATTTAAAATCTCTAAAGGAGGCAAGTGATAGCTGTTAATCTTCCCCAACCTATGACAAGTCTTCTGGGTACTGACAGCTTAATCAGTGAAGGAAGATCCCTTAGCAAGTACCCACACATTTCTTCTGCTCCACTCACTTACCTTGGAGAATTATAAAATCATCAGATTGAATGTCATTGTAGTTTCCACATAGGCCACATGGTTTCCCTTTATGATCCTCAGACAGTTTGAGATAAATTCCAGATATTCCATCCCAAGCCAATGAAAAGCCAAAGGTTGTTTTCACCAGAATGTAGTCAGCAAGTTTCTCAATGAAAACCTGCCCAATTGTCTGAGGCAATGTTAAACTTGAAAAATAGAACAAAGGCAATCTAAGAATTAGGATGAAGGATCAATTGCAGATGACATATTTTTATCTTGAAGTAACTGACATAATGAATTAAAAGAGATTATTACTCAAAATTATTGAATAATCTACATAGTGAAGCCTTCAAAGCAATCATCCTATAGAAAATCTCAACATTTTTGAAAACTTCAATATTGAAATAAAAAGACAATAAAAATGATAGTTTCCTCACACTGACGTAGATTTCATAGTTAGAAATAGATGCTTATTTCAACCAACCAAAAACACACAGCTGCTAAATATCAGTGATTTTAACATCTGGAAAATAACTTTGCCTATTTAGAATAATGAGGTCTTAAATGTATTCGTTTTTTTATCTACAGAGTTAAAGATAACCTAAAAATGCTGCTCAACAATTTTGAAGTAAGAACAAACAATGGTAAAAATATGTAAACACATTGCTAGATTTCTGATTTTGTTTAATTTTATTTTAAATGTGTCTCTATAAGGAAATTGGAGCTTCTAGCCCCCAAATATCACCTTGGCATAAGTCATTGTTTTCTGAAAGGAAAATGTCTAGGGATGATTAATTATAATTTACATTTTTAATGCTGCAAAGTAAATTATTAGGGGTAAAGTATACTTTGTCATACAGTATTGCATAGGGGATATGTTAATAATTTTAAATTGGACACAATTTGGCTTATTTACAAGAGTCACATAGAATATTTAAGCTGCTGATCCAACATCTAGTTTTTCCATTTTTCACAAGGATGTGCTGTGAACATACAAAGGCAGTAAGAGATATAAGGAAAATGAAGAAAACTAAACAATTAGACATTTTAAAAGCAAAGTAAATCACCTAGAACACTTTTGAAAGAACATTGTTCTCCTTCTATCCATGTGTACTGCAGAAGAGAACAGGAGCTAATAATTAAAGAAACTGAAAAAAACTCATTTCTATTAAGGTATCCACATCAAACAAAAATTATAAGCCATAATGTGAATAAGAAGAGTGGTTAATAGGTGTATTCATACATTTCTCTCAAAAATCTCAAATTAATAAGTTCCTTTCCAGGAAGAGCATGGATACATGGAACAAAAACTATAAAATTGAGCATACTACCTAACAAAGGGATAATCTCCAAAGAAACAATTTAGAATATCTGTAACCATTTTCACAAAGATTTTTACGGATAATCATTTACCAAAAATTAGTTATAAAAATTAAGAAATACCTAAAAATTTAAATTGGGGAATAAATAAGAAATTCTAGCTAACTAGTACCATAATATATTCTTATTAAAAATTATGAATATGAGGAATTCATAGCAAAAGTCAGCATGAAATAACATTGAAGAAACATAATTTGTTTTGAGTTTGCAAGTTTATAAAAACTATACTTGAAAAAGTGAATGATGTTTTATAAATATATTTCATAGTAATGGGATGATAATTGTATGGAAGTATAGTTGTTCTAGGAAGTATGGTTGTTCTATTGCAGGTATTTTTTTATTTGGTCATTCATCTCTTGGCCATTTGGTCCCTTTCATAGAAAATATAATTAAATGCGCAATTTTTAAAAAGAAAGGTGGATAACTGTAATTATACTGAAGTTTATAACTGAAGAATGCTAATGGAGATAAGGGGTAATAATAGTTTAAAACCTGCAAATAGTCTAAGATAAACTCCATGCAACTTAAGCAGGAGACATTAAAATGTAAACTAAAATGGATATACAGATTAATGCTGAATAGTACTCAGGGGGTCATTTATACCAAAACCCCTTATTTCACAGCTGAGAGAACTGAAATCCAGGGAGCTAAGGCTTAATGCACAGAGCCATACATATTTAATTTCATTTTGGAAAATATTTCTCTAGTACTTGCTGTGAGTTAGGCCTAGGCCAGGAACAGCATTAGCATAAAAAACATTGCTGAGTAATATAGAAAATCACCCTTTTTCTATCATTCAACAGGAAATCCTCATAGAAATGCTTTCTCTGAGTTAAAATAAAAATTATATCCTCAATTTAACAAAGAATATTCTTGAAAAGCTATTTGAATTGCATATCTGTTGTACAAAACATAATAATTTTTTAAAGTGCCCATTGTATTTCCCCAAATAAATTTTCCCATATAAAGAATCTTAAATTACTATTTAAATTCAGCTCTGGGAAACACATGTATAAATGCATTGCCTTCCCATTCAAATTCCTAAGCTTTCTTATATGAGAAAATGAGACGTACAGAACCCAGTTGATCAAGAAAATAAGCCCAAAGAGCTGGAGGGGCTTCCCTGGGTTGCCAGAATATGACCAAGCTCCCCTGGTGCTTTATCCAAAGCCCTTTCAGCTACCACCTGCTGTCTCTTGAGGAATCTAAACTGAGAAAAAAAATATCATAGGCTGGTAAGACCATTGTGCTGGAAAGAATCCCCATGGTTCAAAATCTTGCTAGGGAATTCTGAACGATGGATTGAATTGTTACATCTCACAGTTTACTTTTTCAGGCATAACTCGTTCAGGAACTATTTAAAATTGAGTGTCTCTATAATTAGATTAGCAGGTAGGTTACTCCACAGAATTTCTATTTTAAAATGTATAAAACCATCGACCAAATATATAACCAACCCCTTCCCCAGAACTCAGAGGTCATATTCTTGCCAGACAGAAAGCCAAGAGCGGGCTGCTCTTTGATCTATTCAAGAAGGCCAGTCATTTTTGCTGTGACTCTTTGTCAGAACTTCAATAGAAGATCTCAAGTGACACCCAAACCTCATTCACACAAACTTGGAAAGGGCTTCCAGAATCCTTTCCAAAATAAAACAATTTTTTAAAGTTCCTACTTTAAAGAAAAAAGAAAAGATTTAAGAGAGAGGGCAAAAACAATCAAAGAGTTGAACTATAAAGATATTCCTAAATCTCTCAAGGAAAAAAATGTGATAATCTTATCTCCACCTGTGTAAACATATTTGTATCCTGTACAAGCATTTTAAGAGAGAGGGCAAAAACAATCAAAGAGTTGAACTATAAAGATATTCCTAAATCTCTCAGGGAAAAAAATGTGATAATCTTATCTCCACCTGTGTAAACATATTTGTATCCTGTACAAGCATAAGGAAGGTTAGTCTGGTTAGATTCCTAACCACCTGGTCGGCCGTATTGCCAACTAAAGTTTTGATGTCTACATGATATAACTTTAAGGGTGTTGTTGAAGGAGAAATCTCCTGTTCCTACTCTCCACAATTCACTTCCAGTGTGAGTTATTTGGAAAGTTGATTAATCTGTGGTGGTATTTTCATTATATCTTTTACTATATCTTACCTGATTCCATTCTTTTTTATTTCATGACCATAAATTCGAATCTCCTCTTGGTTTGAAAAGAACAAGCTGATTGATCGATAACAAGAATACACTGACCCAAGGCATTTAGGGCTATTATGAACCTTAAAGGGAGAAAAACAAAAAGAAAGCATAGAAACCAACAACAACAAACCATATCCATTTGAGATACTAAAATCTCAATGTAAGTTTACAGTTCTATAGCGTCATTAGTTCCATGACACTTGACAAAGTTATAATCACATTTAGAATTTTTGAGAGAAAAGAAATATTTAACTCAGAATTGGAAAATAGAATTAACTTTCTAAAATACAAGTTCATTCAGCATGTTTTTTAAGTGATACGAATCTTTACATGTTGGATGTTAGTATTCTAAGGCTACACATGGTATGTATTGGAAAAAAATAGTTCTGATAGGAAAACTGTAGATTACCGCAAAGAAACACATTTGTGTTTTTTTATGTTCATATTTTTTTACCTGTTAGAGAATCATGAAACAGAGCTTCAAATGGAACTCTAAACAAAGCAATATTTAAAGGTTGAAAAGTGACCAGGACTTCACTGAAAATAAAATTGATTTTACTTTTATTTATTCCCAGACACTTTAGGGAAAAGGGAAATTATTTCTTGAAAAACTTATGAGAAAATTGGTTTGCTAGTAAAAAGAAGAGAGCAAGGAAGAATATAAGATGAGAGGAAGAGGAATGTTAGTTTCTCTTACCCTATATCAAAATTAATTAAAGAAGTTCTAAAAGGTAAAGTATACATGATGAAACCACAAAATAACTGAAAGAAAACATCGATAACTATATAGATGGAAAATAACTTTCTAAGTATAAAAGTGATGAGAAATTTTACTGACAGATTTTTAATATAGCAATTAATGTATATTAATTTAATTATTTAATCAGCAAATTTTATTGATTACTTATTATATACCAGGCACTGTTCTAGATTCTGGGGATATAACAGTCAACAAAAGAAACAAAAATATTTGCCTTCATGAAACTTACATTTGATTGGAGGAAAACAGTTAATAAAAAAATATAACTAAAATGGATACCATACAAAATGACATTAAAGAGAAATATTAAGTAAGGAAAGGGGATTGAGTGTATACTTCAAGGTATCAGGGGAAATTTTAGATTGAGTGGCCCAAAAAGGCCTCACTGAGAATGTGAATTTGTGTGACAGCAGGCCACATGAAATACAAGAGCAGAACATCCTAGGCAAAGGGAAAAGAAAGTACAAAAGCCTGAGACAGGAATATGCCGAAAATGTGCTCAGCATCCAGGAATCTAGACATCTGTCCCCAGGCAGCCTGATGGAGGATTCTTCTTTGAAAAAACAAAATGGAAAAAAAAAAAAAAAAAAACAGATACTAATATTTGGGAGATTATATAATGAAATCAGAGGATCCCTGCTCAATCCTGCTCTAGCCAAACAAGCCCCATCCATATCTTCAGTTTCCAGTTAGCTTTTAGAGCCTTATTCACAAATGTGTACAAACAGTTATGAATCATTAGTCATTTGATGGAAGTCTACAACATGAAAGACACCAAATAAACAAGCAAAAGAAAGTATATCAAAGAAATCAAAAACAATTCAGAAGTATAAAGAAACTTCCACAAATCCATAATTAATATCTTCATAGAGAAAAGTGAGTATATGTCACCCAGGAAACAAGAATAAAATGGTGTTAAAAACCAAATTCAGAGAATAAACATAAATAACTGGATATTGACAATATAATAGGAGAAATTTATAACTGAAGTAGAAAGGTTAAAAGATAAATATCTAACAGTTGAAAATAAATCTTTTAAAATGCAGAATAAAAAAGCAAAAAGATGGAAAATTGGCAAGAATCAATGAGAAAATTAAGGGATCACTCAGTTCAGGAGCTCTCATATATGAATAACAGAATATCTGAAAGAGAGGAAGAGAAGAAATTAAAAATTATTATTCCAAAACTGAAGAACTTGTAAAGCTTGAAAAGGCTCATCAAGTGCCCAGTACACACACACACAAAAAACAAAAAATGGAAAGAAAAACAAAGCTCACATAATCATGAAATCTCAGAACTCTAGGGATAAAGAGATCTAAAAATTTTTGGAGAGAAAGAGGGGAAAAGGTTGTATGCAAAATGATCAAAAATCAGAGTAAATTAAACTTCAGTATTCTGAAAGTATTTTCCAAATTCTAATCAAGGTTTCAAAATTTTTCCTCTCATGCACACTTTCCAGGGAAGTATCTCCCCTTTTTAGAAAGCAACTTGAAAATATAGTTAATTAAAACAAGTGAGGTAACAAAGAAAAGGAAACGGGTCCCAGTTTAATGACCACTACAAACACTGGCCGTATGTTCGTAGCATCCTAAAAGATTTTTAGAGCTTATCTGTCTGTATGAACTAAGTTCAAGGATCACTAGACATTTGATGGGATCTAAGAAACAGGAAAACCAATACAGAAGTGAGAACAAAACTCTCCAGGAGGATGGTAACAAGAAATCCCAAGTGCAAAGTACACAGTAGGCCTCAAAAGTAACCTGCCTGGATTGAACCAGGAGAACAAAGAACTGGGGAAGGGATGTCTCATGGGGGGAAAAAGAAATTGATAAATTGCCCAATGCATCTGACTATATTGAGAAGAATTTTATAGAAATAGTTTGGAGGAAAAAAATCAGTGATTGGAGTATAGAAAATGCTGCAAACAAAAAATGGGATAACTATTCTAGAAAAATGCACAAGACAAGAAATAGAATCATCATAACCTTTGGGCTCAACTCTAACCAATACGTACATAGTGACAACAATGTAAAGATCACATATTGATTTAACTAAAAATGATAATCTCTCTGTTAGGAGGAGGAAAAGGAAGTGTGTGTGTGTGTGTGTGCGTGTGCATGTGTGTGTGCGTGCATGCGTGCGTGTGTGCGTGTGTGTGCGTGTGTTAAGGGCAGGAAGTTTGGTGTAATGTCAAGAGTATTTGACATGGAGGAAAGTTCTTTATATAATATTAAGTGAAATGTAAAACAGAAAATTATACACAGTTTCAATTACACATAATTTCAATTCCATAAACATGCATGAAATCCAGAGGAAAAATTCTAGAAGAAAATACATCAAGACATTAACAATAGCAACTCTTGATGGATAATTCTAATATTATTTTTTAGACCTCTAAATTTTCCGAACTTTTTACAAAAGAAGTGAACTATTTTTATAATCAAGGAGAAAGATGACATTTAAAATAAATGGATTTGTTGATTTAAAAGCAAATTCCGCCAACCCAAACCAGGCCAAGTAGAAACATTTACTAACTCTAGAGGCATAGTTCAGCATTGTGTGTTATTATCAAAAGACAGTTTATCTAGTTGACACCTTAGTCCTCAAAAGACTGAGACACCAGAAAAGAACATTTCAATGAGAGAGTCAGAAGGTGTTAGTGATAAAACTAGTGAGAGAGTAGGGGAGTGAAGGACACTGAGAGAACTGAGAACAGGAGCCCTGCAAAGTCCTGAGGACACATTCCTCTAACTTCCCTATCTAAAGAGACCTCTAATTTTTATCCTATGACCCATAAGTTAACTTTCAGTATATCTCATTTCCTGCCTGGATCACAAGGATTGGCTTTTTTGGTTTTGTTTTGGTTTGTTTTGTTTTTTTCTTCGTTTATTTCATTCAATTCTGTGAGATAGAACTATTTAGACGTGAACTTAGTGAGTTCATCTGAACCTCTGCAGGCACATGCTTTGTTGATTTGGACAATAAGAGTAGATTCATACACACCAAAACCCACATTCGCACTATTTTAGTTGTTTTGTAAACTGGAATTACATTTTAAATTTGAATAGGAATCTGAGAAAATTCACATGTGATCAAGTTTTCAGGTAAGGATAAAATTACCAAACTTGGTGGAGAATGTGTACAAATCTTTTTTTTTTTTTTTTTAATGTCAGTTTGTGGTAATGGACATGCTGCCAGTATGGATCTGGCCATCACATCTTAGGCATGAGTGGTGACAATTTGCTTTGTACCCCATGAGTATTCATAACCAATAAAAACAAAACGAAACATTAAAGGATTGTTACTCTTAAAAAGTTTCAGGGCCTACTTTTAATTTTGCATCACCTAAAAGAGGATGAGAATTTAGGCTATTTCAACGTAAGTTAGAAGGGGAAAAATAACAAAGATTCAAATGTGTTTTGGCTGTGGCAAGTTTTAGCTTTTAAACAGGACAGCACAGCACAGCAGTTTTCTGGTTGTACTTTGAGATGCCTAGAAATTCAGGGGAGCATAGAGGTCCCTAACTTCCTTATGTCAACTAGAATCACCTGCAGCTTGCTTTTTGAGATGTCTCCTAAGAGTTTATCTGAATTGAGAAGTCTGCAACTAAGAATGAATTCTCTGAGCTCAATCATAAAGCATCAGTCTACCTATCAATTAGTTGTCTGTCTCCACATCCTCTAGCCTGTGCTCATGTAATTCATGTACTCTATTTCATAAATGTCAGCCTCCGGTTCATACTGAGGATGCCATTTTCAAAAATTAAACCTGGTGGGCCTCTCTCTGGAAATATCAAGAAGGAAATAAGTATAAGTAATATGGTTGGTGCATAAACCCACCTCCTCTTCAACATGAACAGATAAAACCTGAAGAACAGATATATTGACTGGAACTGATACTATGACATCCATGATACAGACATTACTGCATCGCCTGTAAGTCCCTCCCACATGGATCCAAACCCTACTTCTCCCAGTCCTAGGCCCCATCTTGATAGAATTATACTCAATATAGACACAAATTTGGTCCATCCCATTAAGAACAAATAGCTCTCCTTTGCCAGTCAGATCCCTGAGTATTCATGCTATGATTATTATATTTTTCTATTATTTGTCTAATATTTTTAAAAAGTACATACCTTTCCAGAAATAATTTTTTAAGTTAATTATGTCCTAGTATCACCTACCCATACAGTGTACTGAGGCTCCAAATTACCACAGTCCTTTGCAAAAATATAAGAACAGTTTCCTGGGAAGAAGTAGTAGATTCCATCAAATGTTTCAAAATGAAACTGTCCCCAGCTTTTGCAAATCCCATCTCTTCCCTTGCCCATGTTTGGGACTGAAAAGAAATAGGATAACGTTTAGTAGAATAAAATAAGTCACATCCATTTCTAGCACTGTTTGGTTATGGTAAGTATTCTAATTTTCATTAAAATAAATATTTTCTTCTTTGGTGATCTATATCACAGGAAAAAAGACTAACAAAATTACCAGTTGTTCTCAAAACTATCAGGCTCCCCTTGAAGAAAAACAAGGTCACCTAATTGCTGTGAAGAAAAGATTTATGTTAGAAACTTCCTTAACTTTTGCTTCCAAAGGAAGACTCTAGAAGAAATGAAGCCAGGGAAAATGATACAGTAAAAGAAGGTGATAGTGATCAAGCCAATAAGGTGGCTCAGAAAAGATAGAAATGTCACCACTAAGTGTCATAAAAATTAGCAGTATCCACAGTTCTTTCAAAAGCACGTTTCTGGTATCCACAGAGAAAAATAACCATTAACAACAACAACAAAAAATCATGTTTATATGTCTGGGACCTGGGGGTGGGAAACAGTAATCATTCAAAGTATGTTGAAATTTAGGAATTAGTGACCTCAAATTTCAAGCAACATTAACCTTAAATCATATAGTTTCATCTCTTATTGTCATCATGCCTACCTCCTTTTCTTTTAATTTTTATTTTCTAGTCCCTTTCCTTTAAAATAATATGAAAATCAACAATATTTACTGAGCACTCAATATGTGTAAAACATTTTAATACATTCTATGGGGCACATAAAGATAAGAAACAATATTTCTGTCTTGTCTTTTTGTGATTTTTACCTAAATTTATTAGCCTTAGTAAACTTTGGCCTTTTCAGGAAAAAACAGAGTGACTCATAATTCAGGCAGTCTTGCCTGCAATATGCCTTACTTCTGGTGCATATTTTTATAGCATCTGTGCTTTCCCGGTCCCCTCCTCCAGACGGCAAATACCAGGGGGGAGGAACATGTCTATGTTATTCACCACTGCCTAGCCTGGAATATAGTAGATGCTCAATAAATATTGATTAAACAAATGAATATTTAATGATCATTACTGACATAGTATCCTAACACTGTGGTTAAAAATTTTTTAATTTTTTTTAAAGAGCCCTTGCCCTTGAAGAACTCTCAATACCATTTCTAGTTTATGTACAGAATGTCCAATTAATTCAAAGTCAAAAAGAAAGAGTGACTCCAAATAATGAATCTAATTTATAAAGCAAAAGAGAGATGAATGAGACCCTGGTTTGTTTGTTTTTTCAATTGTCCTATATATACATCTTGGGTTTTTTAAACATTTATTTGCACATATTTGTGGGTACAGTGTGTTGTTTCAATACATGCATGTACTGCACAGTGATTCACTTACACTAGGTAGCATAGTTTTCAACCCATTAGTCCACCACTTCTCCTCCTCCCGGTCTCCCCTCCCAGCCTCTGGCAACCATTATTCTACTCTCTACTTCTATGAGAACCACTGTTCTTTTTTTATTCTTTTTAGATTCCACATACATATGAGTGAGATCATGCAATATTTTTGTCTCTGTGCCTGGCTTACTTCACTTAACATGATGATCTCCAGGAGAACCTGCTTTTAATGAGGTAGTACTATGTAAAGTGGAAAACATACTTGAGGAAATAGCAGAGATCAGTGAAAAGGGAAAGTGGGCACGTCTATTTTCTTTTCTGTTGTTTCCAAATTACTTCAAATTACTGAGAATGAATTGTGGGCTCTCTAGTTAATATGAAATATGATAGTCCCAACTCCCAACGGATAAACGCTACTATAGAAAACTATACTTTAATGTTCTCTTTGGTGTCTCATAATCTTTTCGTAAGTGTCCCTGAAACTTACCAATCTGGCACCTTGTCCCGAGAGCCTGAAATATTTGACAGTCACATGTACCAGTCTTAGAACAGAAAGCTCCGTTAAGGCATTCATGAGGACAAGAGCCTGAGGGGCAAAAAAATCAGTTATCTTCTGGCATGCATCAGTTCTCATAAGCAATATGTCAAGATCTAACTTGGACTAACTGTAACCTACCATTAACTTATACAGAATCCTGGGCCTCTTGCCTTGCTGTACTAAAGAACTAAACCCATCAAGTCTCTATCTAGTTCATTTCATTATGTGTGCTGTGAAGCAAGAAAGACAGGCTTTCACATCTCAAACTACCCTGCGAGCAAAGGTTAGTCTCCTTCAAGCAACTGAAAAGTCAAGTTCCCATTTAAGGAATCCCTGTCCGAGATGATGAGAACCAGAAACACACAAGCTGCAGATGATTCTGCCGACGGAGTTTAGAACTGGCTGCACATCCAATCGTCTCCTTCTCCAGAAGCAAGCACTGTATTAAAAAATAGTGTTCATCGGGCCGGCCCCGTGGCTCACTCGGGAGAGTGCGGTGCTGACAACACCAAGGCCACGGGTTTGGATCTTGAAAAAAAAAAAAAATAGTGTTCATCATTAAATTGAGGGATCAAGCAAAGTACAAAACTTAAAACGAAACTCCCTCTTTTGAAGACAATGATTAAACATTTCATTTGAAGTTTGTGTATTAATCCTCAGGCTCAATTACAAATGACACATTCTTTCGAACCTATGCTCAATTTTGATGAGGCAGAAGCCAAAGTTACTGCTGGCTATCACCAAAAATATTCTTTCTTTCATTGAAAGAAAAAATTACCCCAAAGGATTGTATTAAAAAGAGGAAGCAGTAACTATGAGTTCTAACTCTAATTGTGCCATCATCTTCTAAGTGAGTTTTAAAAATGCAAATGAATCACAGTGAAAAATTTTCCTCTATTAAGGAGAGACAAGAGGCAACTGGCAAAACTCCAGTAGGAAAGATTTAAGTGACACATCAGAAGAGCAAAAGAACATCTTTGAATCACCATAAAGCATTACTAAAGAAGTTGGGCCTCTCTGGAATATGTCAAGTTCCTGGAAGATATTTAGCTAACTGAGTTAATTTAACCACAGTTCGCCACAGGCAAGAATTAGAAGACCCCTGTGATTCCTTTCCACCTTAAAATCCATTGATATGAAATGTCCCTTTATGTTTAAAAATGTACAAATATCTAAGTATATCTTAAGTGAGAAAAAATGAGCTGTTTTAACTTAGACCATAAAGATAGGTGAAAAATTAAGTTTTTCATAAACTTAAATGCAGTTTTTCCTCCTAAGGGGCACATCTATCTTTAAAGTTTATCTTAGATCACAGCTTTGCATTTTTCCAATGGATGGTGTCTAAATATTTAAAGAAACAAATGTTTATCTCCTTCAAAAATTTATTTACAGTCTTGTTTATTCTCCTGAAAATAAATATCTAACCAAAACTGGTGAGGATCATTGTTATATCTTTAAACACAACTATAAGAGTTTCCATTTCATAGTTACCACTCAATTAAATTTCAAACTACATCAGCATTCTGCTTAATGGAAATGGGAAATTGGTAAGCAAAAATAGGGATGTCAGGAGTCAAGGAGCAAGTAACTAATTTAGGAAAAAAGTTTCTGATACCCAGTAATATCTTCACTGGGTATCACTTTTGCTGGGTATCAAAGCTGTTATTGGCTTTGTCTAAATGTTTAGCCCTTGTCATTTCCAAAAATAATTGAAATTTCTATATGACGTGAACTTAAATTATTACTAAGTATTATTACCACCCTGGCTCAGTTTCCTCCATGTAATATATAGAAGCAATTAGGAGTGGACTCAATGTATCCCCTAAATGGTCTTTTGAGAAAGCAAATACAAAAACAGGTAAAAGCACTAACCTTTTATTTTGCTCTCACCCCAAATAATAGCTTCATGGAAAAAATATCTCGGAGAAGTTGCTTCAAACTTTGAAAGAAAGAAATAAGAATTCAAGATAGTTAAATTATTTAATTCAAGCCAACATTCAAATTGGAAAACAGCTACAAATACAGAAATTATAAATAAAGTGCTAACTTTATATTTGCTTGGCTCATTGAGGCTATTTCAGTGAGACAGAAAGAGCTCCTCTGGGGTTGTCATTAGAAGAACTGATTTCAGGCCTTGGCTTTGCCTCTTATGTGACTATGGCAAGTGCAGTGAATTGAATTGTGTCCCCCCAAAGTTTAATGTGTTGGAGGCTTGGTTCTCACTGTGACAGTGTAGGAAATCCTATTATATAGCAATTGAAAGGTGGGGCCTTGTTTGATGGCTTAATGGTGGTCATGGGTGTGTTTCTGCAGGCTTTAAAATGAAAACACATGAGAGTCTCTCTCTCTGCTCCACCATTTTCTGCCATGTGAGACCCCTGTGTCACTGAAGCCACTACCAAGAAAGACCCTTACCAGATGAGTTCCCTGGACTTTGGACTTCCCGGCCTCTGAAACCGTAAGCAATAAACTTTGTTTTCTTTCAAATTACCAAGTTCCAGTTATTTTGTTACAAGCAACAGGAGCAAACTAATACAAGTCATTTACCTTCTCTGCTTTCTGTCCTCACTTGCCTTCTTTCTTCCCCTACCCTTCACTCCCCCTATGTGAAAGGAGCCTGCTTAGAGTCTAATCTTTGGATTCACAGACTGCTTTGCCAGCAAAAGTTGCAGTTCTCTGACACTTTCAGGTGCAGATGGGTCTGGAAAAAAAACGCATGGGACTGATGGACCAACGCTCAGTGATGTCCTGCGTGCCTGCACACCAGTCTGCAAAGACACTATCCGCAGAAGCATCTGCTATTTCAGTGTCTGTGTGTCAGCCTCAGCCTCCAAAGAGTTGACACTTTAAAGTTCATTGAACATTTAAATATATCTTTTTATAGAGCCCAAAGTTGTTCAGGGTAGTGGGTAAGAGCACTGAATTACAGAATCAAACAGACCTGGATTAGAGTCCTGATTCTGCTATTACTTACTCTTGGTCAAATTTCCCAACCTCTTAGTGCCTCCATTTACTCATCTGTAAAATGGGAACAATAATGGTACATACATTGTGTAGTCATGACAGTGAATTAAAACAATGTATGTAAAGCTTTTTAGCATAGTGCTTCATGCATAGAAAATTAGCAACAAAGGGATTTATATTAATCTAGCAACCCAGATGAAATCTTAAGATTTTTAAAGGTCAGTATGGTTTAGTAGCAAATAATTATGAATTACTAAAACTAGTCAGTTATGGACTATTATTCCAGCTCCATGCCAAATGAGTCTGGGGTAATATTCTTTCAATATCATTTTCATGTTCACCAAAAGAAATACACACCCAAAATTTGCCACATAATTATCAAATTAAATAGCAGATGATGTTAGAAAAACTGGAGAAGTGTGAAAAATAAGAAGAGAGGAGGGATGAGGCATGTGACTTAAAGTACAAAGTCCTTTTCAACACATTTGGGTCTCTCCTACATGTGAAGTTTTATTCTGGCATTTTCCAGCTCAGGACCTCTTCTTTTAACAGACAAACCTGCCTCGCCCTAAATAAAAGGACTCACACTCTCTCACCAGTTTTAGATTTGTTTCTAAACTCCTTGCCCTACATCATGGCTTCCAAGTTCATTGTTTTCTGTTCTCAGTCCTCCCAGGTTTTATCCTCACTGCTCAGTCTCCCTTTTTGCCCTTCCTCTGTCTTCAAACTAAGTGAGACTCACAACAGTCTGTGACCTTGATTCCCCCAGACAGTTCAATCTTATTTTCTCTTCAGCCATACTGTGTCTGAATCTAACACAGCCACCAATATTTCTGGGCACCAGAATCTTCCTGCTTTGACTCCAAAATGCTTTACACCAACCCCATTAGTAGAAACCGAACAATCAATCATCTCTGATGTTCACTGAAAGTATACAGCAGCCTCAACTGTGCCTCATACAGGCTTATAACCTTGAACAAATTATTCAACCCACTCAGCCTCAGTTTCTCAATCTATAAAATGGAACGACAGAACCTGCCTCACAGAATAATGAGAATAATAAAAATACAAGTAACACACCAAGAATAGTGCTGGTCATATAATAAGAGTTGTAAACATGCTACCTATATTTATTATTAGGCAAGTACTGAATATACTGGATAACACTAGACCAAGGCAAAAATATGTAATTGGTTCTTAGCTCCATATCCTCTCACCCAACTAAATTCATACCTCCTGTATGGAAATTCCAGTGACTACCTAGTACACCAGCTTCCTGGTTACCACAGCATCCTAGTTACCCTAACATCCCATGCACCATAATACTACATTTCACCAATGCTAAAATGTGACACACAGCTTTTTTTTTTTAAACATATATGAACTCAGAATGGCATCTTACATTTATAATTGGGAGTGTTTTTATTTTTTGTGTCATATAAATATGGCAGATAATTGATGGTAATCTTAGATTTAATGAACCAGTTGCTCAGAAATGACTTTTTACAGGCCTACCTCCACTAGACATGAAGATAACAAGCACTGCTATTCTTGTTTATATCTCTAACATAGTTCCTGGCATGTCATCAATAAATACCAATGGAGCTGAAAAACAACATTGTCCAACTGGGCGTCTGCCTCCCAAGGGTGTTTAGAGCCAGACTACTGCAGACTCTGATGATGCTCCTCCCCACATCCTCTGAGCCCACCAAGGAATTCACCTCGGAATTCATCTGGATTTCTGTGCACAGTGAGAGCCTCCAACTTCAAGCACCAGCTTCCTTATGCCTCTGCCTAATGGAGAGTCCAAGCCTGACAGTCTACAGGAAGTGCCTTGCAGGGGACTTAAGCTTCCCCCAAAGCCCACCCTACACCAATGAGAAACAGTAATCAGTGAGTAAATACCCCAGCTCCTCCCATCTGTTGGAGAAACGATTCGAGGACACATTCTACACAGCTCCTCAGAGGGTTCCCAGCAAGACCAAGCCCCCAGATGCCTACAGCAGGAAGCCCCTCATTAGCATACCCTTTCCTCTCTCTTTCATTTGTGCGCTTCCCAAACAAATGACCTGCACCTGCCTCTATGCCTCAGCACCTGCTATCAGGAGAAGAGTTTTTGAAATGTAATACAAATGCAAAACAATCCCAGGCACTGGGTACATATATTCACATAACTGATAAAAGAGGACAGTCCAGTCTTCCTCTTTCCTGATTACATCTCCACAAGAGGGTGAGAAGCACAGAGAAATACAGTCTTTAGATGGGAAATCATTGCAGCACATAAATACACCATTTACAGATATCTGTGTCTACCCTGTCCTTGCTCACCTCATTGCCAACATATTTCTGAATCCTTATTTTGCACAGTAATCTCTTTATCAGTGCTCTCTTTTCCTAGAGCAAGAGAGTGAATTTGTGGACAAGAATGGCCTTACAACACATGAAATTGCAAACCTGAACAGTGCGGCATATGATTATGACCTCATTGCCCTTCTTTAACATTTCTTCTTTTGAAACTTGTTCAGATGGTAAATGATTTTAACACATGTTCCCTAGCTACAGGAAATAGAAGTGCAAATCTCTTGCTCTTTATTCTCCCTAAAAGGGAAATTGAGGCAAAATAAGTGTGTTCCTCACTTATTAACAGAAGGAAGATATGAACATAACTCCTTTGGGGTTAATTATACAAATTCTAAAAACATCTAAATGAAAAATAGCATAACCTCATCCATAGGGCATTTCATGTGACAGCTTTGGGGTATATTTTGACAGGTTCCTCAATCTAGTGGGTTCACCAGAATACAGTTTTTCTCAAAATCAGATTTTCTACTGAGTCATACAGACGTCTTTTTGTGGTTAATATGGTCTACTCGCAAACATGTACTTAAAACTTCTCAGAGGGCCGGCCCGTGGCTCACTCGGGAGAGTGCGGTGCTGATAACACCAAGGCCCCAGGTTCGGATCCCACATAGGGATGGCTGGTTCGCTCACTGGCTGAGCGTGGTGCTGACAACACCAAGTCAAGGGTTAAGATCCCCTTACCGGTCATCTTTTAAGGAAAAAAAAAAAAAAAAAAAAAACCTTCTCAGAGAATAATCATTTTAACCACTTCACATGATACATAAGTACACAAAACATTCTGTCTAAGATAAAAAATAGTGCTTCCATTTTTTAGGCAATTCTTTGCCCATTCTGGTTCAGGAAAAAAAAGTCTCTGCTCTTAATAAGAATAAATTAGTTGGGTCTTCTAAACTGTCACAACAACATATTAAATCTGTTTTCCATTCATCTACTAACTCTCTTCAATTAACACCATAAAACATACAAATTTAGGCATCCATCAGAAAATGCTAGTAGAAATCGTTTTCAATACAGTATTCGTCAAAGCCTTCCTTGAATACTTAAGCTATTTGCTACATAAATATAGCTGGTGCAATATAAATCATATTAGTTTTCAAAGAAATGCCTTTACTAAGTTAGAATTCTCTATTTTACCACTGATCGTTTATAGAGAAATATTTTTTAAAACCCATCCAATTGAACATTCCAACTTTAGTTTGAAGATATTGCAGTTATGTTATCCACCATCCTTTATAAAAAGGGATCCAGGCAAAAAGGTCTCCTCAAATTCAGTGCTACTCTGCCACTCCAAAAAAAGTGTTATCTCTCCAGAGACACTAACAATTTAGATTTATTGGACAATATGAAAGCAGCCTGTCAGGACACCAGGATGTACCCAATGGTCTTTTACAGTATTTAATTTATATCATTTATACATTTCTCATCCCCTTTTTTCATATACGTAGTTATACTGTTGTCATTGTTTTAACTGCTATTGTGATTAATTTTTTTTTTTTTCTTTTTTTTGTGTCTGGCAACGGATCGCAACCCTCAGTGTCGTGCCCATACCGGACCGGGACCGGCAACAGGATCGCAACCCTCGGCGCTGCGCCCGCACCTCGCTCAGCCAGTGAGCGGGAACTGGTCTGTATGTGGGATCTGAACCCTTGGCAGGAGCGCCGCCACACTCCCAAGTGGCGCACTGTAGCAGTGCGCCACCAGGCCGGCCCTATTGTGATTAATTTTTAAACCAATTTAAATTTTCTGGCAAGTAGATGGGATTACTTGCCATAAATACTTTGTGTCTATCAGTAGGTAACTGAGGTAAAAAACAAAAGTAGTATTTAACTTCGAACAAGTCAATGTGAACTGAGCATGAATTTAAGGGTTGCAGAAAAGCAGTAAAGAAGTTACTTTGCCTCTTCCTCCTCCTTCCTGTCTTGTTTTAGTGTTTTATTCCCCTCCACAAAGGTCTCTTTGTTCAAGTGACAGTAGCAGAGTCCAAACCAGAATGGATTATTTCTCTGCCTCTCCCTCCATCTGAGGCATAACCTACCTGTGCTGCTAAAAGAGGTCTTTTCTGTCGATTTTCATTAAAACCATTTCTGGAAGAAAACAAAAAGAACTTGTATAGTCAAAGCTCCCCCCAGGCAACCTGAACAAGCCTTTCCCAAGAGAGAGCTGGTGTTTTCCTCCTGATTTCCATCACTTTATCAAAGAGGTCTTTCTTGGTGTAACATTTAAAAGCTCCCCCTCCCCTTTTTGGAGGGGTTAGATTGGGTGGTGGTGCTGTCTCATTTTACAAAATTTGGGCGTGCCCCCAAATCTCTCCAGTCTCTGATGTAAACTGAATTTTAGGAAGGAACTTTGAGATGAAGAAATAAACAAAATAGTGTAACACTGTAGCACCAACCCACATAATATTTTCTCCACATGCCTTCACAAATCTGGTGAGGTCAGTATTTGCCAATGGCACATTCACTCTTTTCAAATGTGATACTTAATTCTCTCCTGTTCCAGGTTGTAAAGGGCAGATTCAGATTAATGTGAGTAAGGACATCAAATTGCAATTTATTAAAATCATATTATTAATAATCACTAAGCTGTACATTCATTTTATGGTGTTTTCTGTTTTTGTATTATATGAATATTTATCAATAAAAAAATTTATTAAAGAAGTCAAATGACTTTTGAGTCATTCAAGTCAATTCAAGTGACTAAAATTCTGCTTTTCATTACGCAGATCAGTTTAATAAAAAAATGATTTTCATTATTTACTGCTCGAAACATTTTATTCTTATCATTAAAAACTGATTTACTCTACATTAAGAATACAGCACACTTGTAGTCAATAAAGTGTATTAATAATAATAATATAATGGGGGATATTACTGAATATAACTTCTTTAGAAACCATTGAAGTGAAAGTAATATCTCTTTAGTACCTACAGCCAATGAATACCATTGAGAACTACTCTTATACTTAAAATGAAAAGTAAATATTGTCCCTTCATAAATAAAGAAATGAATGCCTGATCATTTTTAATTTGTGGAAATATTTTAAAGAACTGCATCTCATGCTTTTTGGTAGAATATTTTATTTATTTATTTTTGAAAGCAGATGTAGTTGTCTGCTGAGTTTTGCTCATTCTCATTAACTTTATGTTTTATAGGACATAAAGAACAAGAAATACTTACTTTGATGTTTCTGTCAAGATGGATGATGCACAAATATGTCCTGCCAGAGATAAATATATGCATATATAAGAATGAAAAAAGAAATTATCCAAGTATCTTAGTCACATATTATGGTTATTTAACAGATCATTTTAACCCAAATTCTAAAATCTAGATTGAGTTTTACTGTGAGTTGTCTTGCATTTTTAAAGAGGATTTTAACCAGCAAATTCCCTGTGAGACAATGGAGTGACTGATAATCCAAAAACAATGGGCAATGTACACAGATTTACACAGAAACATAATAAAATTGAACAAGCACTAGACTTGGAATCAGAAATCCAAGTTGTAGTTCTGATCCTAATTCTTAGTATATGGTAAGCTTAAGCAAGATACCAAACAGATCAGAAAATGATGGTGTTGGACAAGGTTATCTCCAAAGTCCCCTCCAGCTCTCAACATTCTATGACATCTTTCTCCACGGGTCTCAGTCACTAACAAGATTGGGATAGTATCTTTGACCTCTATAATCTTTTACACTTCAGTAATTTCTTCCACTTCCTCTACAAGCTCCAAAACATACAGCCCTTTGTAGGAATTAAAAACTAACAACTGAATGTAAATAAATGCTTTCTCTGCAAAAATATTTTATAAAATTAATTTATAAATAAAGTTGCTATAAAAATAATTGAAAATCAATTCTTAGCCCCAAATGTTAGTCATTCTTAAAAAGTCTTTTTAACATTCATTGGGTTGATGGCACAAGCTTAAGTACTCAATTACTCTTTACTTATTACAAAATTTCAGGTGTTTAAATTACACATAGACAACTATTTTAAATCAGAGAAAGAGTTAGAATCAGAATTTCTTCCAATACAACTGCAAATCATAATAAAAGCATGATTTTAACTAGCCATTAAAATAAATAAATAAACAAAAACCCAAAAGGTCCAAATTATTTACGTTATTAAAAATCTGAATGTCATTTAGTCGATATCCATCTAATCACTTCAAAGTGCTTTACAGTATAAGAGGAAATAATTTACCTCAGTTGTAAGAGAGACTAAAATATAATAAATTACAGTTAAAATTTTAATACAAGTTCTTACCTTGTAATGAAAACAGCAGTATATGAAACAAGAATATACTCCAAGGTATCATTAAATTGAGTTTCCTCAAAATGTTCATTTCAGTGTAGCCTTTCTCCCTGAAAGGTAACCAAATTGTTGGTCTTTACTTTGATGGCATCTTAGAAATATGCATATTTGTAGTGTGCTCAAATTCTAATAAATAGAGCTATGTAATAACATAATTCAAAAAAGAATTGCAGGCTTTCTAACTACATACAGCATCTGCAGCTTTAGAACTTGCAAGCAAGTCTTTGACTGAGTCTCTCATTAGTAATGCATGGCAGCTTCTTACCTGACGCGGTATTAGTTACACCCTACCCCACTCCTGCACATCACAGGCCTTTTCAGCTTATATTGTATTTTGTAACTTCTAAAGGCAGCAACATTAAAAAAAAAAATCTATTGATATCTCCTGATAGCATAAGAGATAACCATTATTCCTAATTGTTGATACACATTCTCTGTGCTTTAGAATTTTATTCATAAAATACGTCCTCTGAGAAAAGTTAAAATAAAATTCTGTCATTCTTTCCTAGAATGTCTAGATGTTCTTATAAATTTTTCTTGAAGAATTGAAAAGCAAACTAAAACTATGTGCATATATTTTCAACTCAAGTCCCATTACAGCGTAGCTTAAGTTGACATGGTCACGTGCCCACAGATCTTTCTGTTAAACATTCTGCAACAAAAGTAGAAATTATTTTTTTTTAAAAGATGATATTCTAAAAATTAAAGTAACTCACCTATCCCTGAATACCTTCCCTTCATACCCTTTTTTCCATCCTCTATGACAAGTACCTAATGAGAGAACAAAGAAAAACTTGTTATTCCAGCAGTAGGAGCACTCTTCTCCGGAAGTGATTGACTGCCAACATTAGAGAAGAGCTCTAATATTTCATAATGAACTACATAGAGATGATCTTAGCCCCACAAATGAGTGAAAGTCATGCTTATATAGTGGGTGCATATTTCCCACAGCAGATCCTGTGAGATACCTGCACTATTATTAGATTCATTTAACAGATGGGGGTACACTAGTAAGGAATGTCTAACTATGCAGGAACTAGCTTATGAGACAAAAAAGAACATCAGTTCTTGACAACCTATTGTACCCAAACACCTCTTTGGCAATGACTTTTGAGTCTTTTCTGTGATGTATCCTTGACATCCTATCATGTTGCATGGCCCAATAGCCATTATCTAAACAGCTTCCTGCTTGTGTCCCAAATTTAATGATCATTTACTCTTGCTCTATATGATCTTAGTTCCTTTCCATTGCCTAATAATAGCTAATTTCATGAGCCAACAGAAGATGTTTGCCTATAAAGGAAAAAAGCTTAAGCATGAAAACACACACAAAGTTTACTGAAATTACAAAGTAGCTATGTGCCTGTCTACACACACACATGCACACTCACACTTATTTTGAATTTTTAATGGATAGATTTAAATAATTTAAGTATAGTATATGTTTAATAATGTTTATTGAGAGGTTGCTATCTAACTAGACAATCATATAACTCTAAACAGATAATTAACTATTTGTAGTGACTTCCAAATATTGGTGCAAAAATATGGATCTACTAAACCACAATCAAAAATATAAAACATCTAGATTTTTAAGAAGATGTGAATATAGAGTAAATTTAAAAGTTAAGGTTGAAGTCTGTTTAGAAGACAATAATTTTTCTCCAAAAATACTTTTAAGCTAAGGGAAGCAGTTTTGTTTATGCAAAATGTTTATTGACTCTTTCTGGAAAGGATTGAAATGTACATAACCGATACACATTACTAAGTCCCCTCCTTAATTTATAACAGTTTCTCTTATCTTTGTAGTTTCCCAAATAAGTCAACCTGTAACATGAAGAACCTATAAATCACACTTCAAGATTATTTTTTTCTCTATTCTAATAACTGCTCAGCTTTTTTCTTTAAATTTAAGATTTTCCATAAGTGACACACATATGAAAACATCCCAGGTGGAAACCAAAGTTACATTTCATGATTTTATAAAGTAAATGTTTCTATAATACAGTTATTTCTAAAATTCCTAGAATTTGATGAGAAAGGGTTAATAAACAGCAATATAAAGCCATGTGAAAGGTATGTGGTTTTGATATTTTATTTACTTAATTAAAATGTCATAACTCTAAAAACTTTTAATCTCACATTTCATACAGTATCTTTAAACTTTTGATTCAAAAGCATCTCAATCATTTCCACTGAATAAGGTTGAAAATTCCAAGGTTGTATCACCTAACATTTTTATTACCATTTTTCTGTTTTGAACTATATGCACTAAAAACTATAAGTTGTTTTGTCCAGTAAAGAAAATGGTAGAAATAAGAAGAGAAATCCTCAGGGTGGCCATTCTTTTATAGGTAGAGGTTTAGTGTGTGCCCTCTCTCTGCTCCTCCTCCATTCAGGCTTATAGTAGGAAAAGGAGAATGAACAAAAGGAGAATGAGCAAAAGAGCAATCAAAAAAAATCCCAAGCTCTTTTTCAACTCACTACGTTATGAAATCGTCACATAAAATGGTAGTCTGCATGAAAATAAGTAAAACAGTTTCATGAATAGCTACAATAGAACAGAGTTTAGATGAAAGATTAGACCCACAGCCACACAAAAAAGGAATTTATGATTGTTGCTACATGTAATTATTACTGTCAAAATTTAGTGACAGCTTTTATATTTCATTCTACCCTGACAAAGGAAATCTGGCAAAAAAAAAAAAAAAAAAGTGAGTCATCCATCAGTTTGTGAAGAGATATTAAGTTCATAAGAAGTCTGAGGCAACTACATAATGCTAGCAATGAACAGTTCCCTTTCTGCTACAAAAGCACTGCACATTTTCCCACATGGAATATGATCTTTAGAAAACTGACACCTGACAGCCTATTGGCCTCAATATGCCACATAAAAACAACCAGCAAGAATGGGAAAATTTTGACCTGATTATATATATATACATCCATGATAATAAAGAGATATTTTTAATAACATAATCTTTGAGAAAAGTTAATTTCTTTGGTGGTTTATATAACACTCGTTTTTAATTAGGTAGAGGTCATATCTAAAGTAGATAACATTTGACTCCCATAATATCACATTCTACTAGAGAAATGCAATTATTCTTCAGTTGCTTTACTAAAACCAACACATTTCAGGTTCAGAATTTGTTATCTTGAGCCAGCAAAAAGAATCTTGTGTCTTTAAGGTGATTTTTACTACTCTGAATTTAAGTGCCTGATTATAAGATAGTTTGTAGTACTCTATTTATGATTTCAGGATGGATGTTGCTTGGCAATTTCTGAGATATTTCATATAATTTAATTTAGAAGTGGCGTCTATCTTAGCTTTTTTGAATAAGGACATGATTATGTTTCCTAAGCGGTACCTGTGTTGGTCATGATTTCAATTTAAAGCTCATCCCCAGAAGTTAATGTGTTATACTTTATAGGAACATTTGTTTTCCAAGTTGCTATGGTGCCATTAATTTGCAATACATAATTGATATCTTGAAGGATGTAATGTTCCTCCAACTAAAGTTTCCTCTTGTCAACATTTTAGCATCAAGTTCAAGAAATAATACCAGTACTTTCTGCAGATCTCTTCGCTCTCCGAACTGCTGTGGCACTTCACGTTTGCACTATATAGTGCAATATATAACGCACAATATAACAGTATAAATGAAGTTGTTTTCTCATGTTTGCAATTCCAGTTTATATCTTTAATCATTCATTTTTACATACTTATCTTACAGTTGTCAAGGGAGAATGTTATTTTAATTTCTCAAGGGGTGGGGTTGATGGTTCTAATCCTACTGTTTATTGTGTTTGCTTCTCTCCCTTAGCGTAGATTACCTCCTGGGTTTTGTAATTTTGAATTTTGGGTTCATGTCTGCCAAGCCATTTTCTATAGAAATCCTTTCCCACCAAGGCTGAGGATCTGCCCCTCCAAAAAGGATTTTGTATCTACTTCTGCCACATGCTACAGAGAATTTCATGTTAATTTCTCAGCTTGAGGGTTCCCGGACCACACAGTATAAATTCAAATCCCAAACCCAAAGTGAAGAAAAGCCAAGACCAGTTTCTGCTTTGTTTCTGAACTCTGGTGATATCATTTACAACCTTGTGAACTCATCTAACCATTTATATGGTTGACTGTTTTATTTTACTTGGCGTTTCCGACTATTTTATAACTGGCAAATATTTAGATCATCCAGTCTGCCATACTGCCAACAACAAAGCCACCAACCATCCAAATGTATATGCTTTTATTTTCTAGGCACTTTATATATTTGCTTGCTTATTTTCTCTGCTTAATTACAAACAAAAGTTACTCAAAACAAACAACTGAACATTTATAAAGAAAGCATATCAAAACATGTCATACTTAGAAAAATTATTTAAGTTATTAAACAAAATCTGTCAAATCCCTAAATGTCATGATTAAATGACTTCATACAACACCAAGATTCCAACTCAGATACCTGACAACCTGATTTATGACAACAGCCACTGCAATCACTCTACAGTGTCAAACATCAACTTATCATCTTCTACTTCCTCTAAATTGGCAGGATTTATATAGAAAAACTGCCTTTGGAGATATGACATTATTGTGATTTTTGGCCGAGCACAAATCAGTATGAAAACATAATATAGAAGAAACTAAGCCCTTCATTGTGATTTGAAAGTGAAATAAGATTGGTCAACCCCCAAAAATTGTTCCCCCGTTATCTTGACATGACCTCTTCCCCTGCTCCCAGCCTGAATTAGTCTTACTGAGTTACATGCAAAATGGTTATCATTATCTCCCAAAAGCTGCAGTGAAAATACACTAGTTCCCTTGGAAGGTTTTCTTCAGTCCTCTCTTCTAACAAGATAAGCTTATCAGCTTTGCTTAGAATACAGTAGTGGTTCTCAAACTTTGTGTGCAAGAATTACCTAGGCAGCATATTAGAAGCACAGATTCCCAAGCCCACCTCCACTATATTCTGTGTTTTCTGATTGAGTCTAAGGGGATTA